GCTTACAACCCCACTGGATCCACAAGACTTCCAGCCCACTGGCCTGTGATCCTCCTGCATTCAGCATCATTGCATGTATTTCATGAATCAGAAGATGACTTTATAGATTGGTATCAGACATATGGACTAATATTGGACTTACAGCCTTGGACTGGACTGGGTTGGGATCCTTTCTTAATGTTCAATTGCCCTTTATATCAAACTCTCTCTTATACACATGAGTGCCTATGAATTTGTTTCTCTAATCAACCCAGACTAACACATTAATGAGTAGAAAGGGCCAGACCATATTTTTGCATTGTTTTGTTAAGTATTAATTCAAACAATATACACTTCTGGTGAGCTGCCATCCTCTATATAGGGTTGCACACCCGTGGGGGTAGAGCTTCTTTGAGGAAGTCTGACTGTTGGAATGTTTGCAACAACAGATGATACCTTCTCAGCTCCATTTATTACAAAAAAAGAAAAGAAAAAAAAAGTAGTTGCTTAGCTTTGAAGAATATATTGGGGACAGAAGGCAGTTCCTCTTCTCCACACGTCAGCTTTACCCCTTAATGTGTGGATGGGGAGGAATTTCACGCCCTCTTCGAAGAGACACAGTAGAATTCAACACTTCTCCGAGCCACCTTTCTTCCCTGAGGAGGCCAGGAGTCGGGCCACAGAACCAGGGGGAAGCCCAGGCAAGTGTGACTTCCCACTCATGGTGACCTGGAAAAGCTGGAGAACAAAAGCAAAACACAATTTCATCTTTGAAATTACACATCAGGGCTCTCATTCACCTTGATAAGCACTTCTGAAAATCAAAGAAAGGAGAAGAAGCAGGGATGTTCCTTTCGTAAGAGTGAGGGAACCATTCCTGGTGCCGTTTTTCAGTAAATGTGGATATTCAAAGGGGCATTTGATGTCTTTTGTGAGCTTCAATTGGTCACGTCAGGAGTTCAAAGAAATGAAGAAGAAATGGGGAAATGACATAAATAAAGCAAGAGAATTTGGTGAAACACAAAGGTACTTTTTATTCTGCTTTAAGAATTGTTGTATACCCTGATTGCAATATTCATTTACATGAAGAGCTATCTGCATGTTGTTCCTATATTTGCAACTGTGTGGGTTTCACAAGAGGGACTAGCTCTATCTTGAAGTACACAGGAGAAAAAAAATCCAAATGTATTCAAGTCACCTTTGCACAGATGTCAAGGTGTCATGATGAAGCTGCTTGACCCCCAGGTAGCCGGAGGCCGTGTCGAACATGCAAAACATAGTACGGTCTGCTGCATTCGGAGTCCTGAGTGCTTAGACTGTTACAGGGATAGAGAGTCTCCCTTCGGAGGTTACTAGAAGAACACCATAAAGAGGTGAGCTTGGGTGAAGGATGAAATGAGAAGCCCCTGGGTCATCTTCCTCTGGGAGGTGGTGTGGTGAGGGCTGGGGGTCTTCAATACAGCACTTTCTGTGACAATGGCACAGGGCAGACTCTGAGCTTCCATTATACACAGGGAAGGTCTACAAGTCCAGAACCTGCACTTATGCTGAAATAAGAAGTACGATTGGGGCTCTATTTGGGAGCTCTAGTGAGTTAACAGACATGAAAAAATATTTAAAGCAACAAAGACTCCCTTGAAGAACCATTGAAAGATCTCTCCTCCAGATTCAGTGTTTAGTACCAGCACATCTGATGCTTAAGCTGACGGGAAAAGATGCTTCCTGACCGTTGCCACTGAGTCATCTTGGTCCTGATAGATAATAATAAGTTCTTGGGTACTGGGGTCTTCCTCCTTTGTACAAAACCTGTGTGTGGCTGGGTCCCACCTGGGAGCTCTTTCCTCCACAGCTACCCCTCACCCGCCATGCCCATATAAGAGCTCCTGTACATAGGATGGCCTGTGGTCCTTACACAATAGGTCCTCTCACTGTGGTCTGTAATATGCTATTACAATCAGGATATACTGGCTGGTCTGTGGTCTCACAGGGACCTGAGATGTCTGAAACCTCTGTGTCGGAAAATGCATCCATACAGACATCCTGTAGGACTGGTGGGGTCCTAGACCTCCCAACTTAAGAGGTTGTTCCTCCGCAGCATGGACTTCTAGGCTTGGTCCAAAAGGTGCTGTTTGTGAAATGGTTAAGCATTTGGCTGCTACTCGAAAGGTGAGTGGTTCTATCCAACCCCACAGCAACACTAGTGGAGGCCTGTCAATCTTCTTCTGTAAAGGTTAAGAAAGCTTTAGGGGGCAGTTCTACTCTTTCACATAAGATTTGACAGAATAGTGTCAGAATCAACCACAGTCAGTCCTCTCTATCAGCCATCAGCTTTAAGGCTTTGGAAAAAGCATGTAAAGGTTCTACCCTCTCTTCCTTTATCTCTCTCTAAAATTGTGGTAAACTGATATATAGAGCACAAGATTGTGTACATTTGAAGCTCTTGGGCTAGTACGTGATGTGGGTTTCTACTAAGAGAACCATAGATTTTCTTGTCAATGATCTAAAGACCATAGACAAAAACTCCTCATACGAGGATGATTCTTTTTGTTTCCTCCCTTTCACCTCAAAACAAAACCAGAAAAGGAAGGCCAAAAAGAATTGATGCATTTGAATTATGATGCTGATGGAGATTATTGAAAATATGGACTGCCAAAAGGACAAACCACCCTGTCTTGGAAGAAGCACAGCCAGAATGCTCCTTAAAAGCATGGATGGCAAGACTTCCTTGCCCGTGCTTTGGGCATATTGTCAGGAGACACCAGTCCTAGAGAAGCATAGCATGCTGGGTCAAGTAGATGAGCATCGAAAAAGAGGAAGACCCTCAACAAGATGGACAGACACAGTGGCTGCAGCCGGGAGTCCTGGCCCAGGAACAACTGTGGCATGGCACCGAGCCGGGCAGTGTTTCCTTCAGGTGTGCATGGCGTCACAATGGGCCTTAGCCAACCCAATGCACCTAACAACAACAGTATGGACCCGTGGATTGACCCGGTGGCTGCAAAGATGGAGTCCAACATAGCAACAATTGTGAAGGGGGCGCAGGACTGGCAGCATTTTGTTCTCTTGTCTATGGGGTCATTATGAGCCAGAACGGATTCTCTGGTGCCTCAAAATAACAACAGCCTCAAAAATAGTAGTGTCACGTCCTGGGGCTTGCCCTAGTTAACAGTGAATGACTTATGATCAGAAGAAGAATCACAACTATTATGGAATGAAATCTGTTACATGGTTTTTTTACTCCATCCATAGCACAGTTCATAAAAACAACCAAATTCAACTCAATTAAATACTTGACTGTCGCCTGGTTGGGTGACATTATATTTGAGTGGGGCACTGTCTGAGAGTCAAAGAGAACAAATGTGCTTCAGAAGCACACCTTGATGGCATGAAGTACGACTTTGTGTCAGGATGAGGTTGATGAAACAAATAATAGTGCGACATTTAACAACTTCCCAGCTTACTCTGGGAATTCCCCAATTGCCTTGTCTGGGGCTAGTTTTGGCACCTCCAGTTTCCAAGCAAATCTCTCCCGGAGAAGAGAAGAGACAAGACTCTTGATTGTTGGACGGGCCGGGAAGATTTGGTTTCTCTTTGAAGGTAATTACTCTTTTCAAAGGACAAAGATCCACCTTCGCCTTTAAAACGCATTGAAAATGCTTTCCAAGATCTAGAGATTTTCAAGGTTTAGTACATGGCAGACAGCCACTGAGGAGAAATTCATTTCCTAATTAAGAGTCTAACCTGCCATTCTTCCACCCTTAGCATTCCACAGCTAGTGGGGTGAGGGTTTCATTAATTGAATGAAGGGATCATCTATAGTTTCAGTTGGAGAGACTGGAAAACAAAGTTTAATTGGGGGGTATTTGTTCTTAATTTAATATTACTAGTGTAGGTTTAATATCCAAAGTGATATTCTCCGCTAACATTGAAAAAGTAAACTATACACTTAAATTTCTAATGCCATAATCACTCTTGATGAGCACTTATAGTAGAATGGTACGGGGCACCCTTTCTTGTAAAATGGCCTGGGTGTGTAAAACCATATAAGGCAAGAATTGTCCTTAAAGCCTGAGCCCCTAATTGCACACTCCTTGTTCCAAGAGTAAAAGCTCTTTCTCAAAATGACTTGGAACCTACTTGCTACGATTCCACTCACGGTGAGTAGAGGGCACAAACCAGCGCAAGGAAATGGGATTGTCTGCGTTGCAAACCAGTCACTGGAGACAGCATGGGAGGCTAGAGTGTGACTGACCACTCGGTGCCAGCGATGGTATAGGCCCAGTCCTGAGAAGCTGAAGGAAAGCCAGATTGCTGGATGTTAGGCGTGAAGTGGAAGATCCACTCTCGTGGCTTTAGTAGTGCCTCCACAGACATGTCCACTTGGGACCTCAGAATGTGCTCCGAATTGAAAATAAAGTCCAATTGGTTGAAAAGTGCCCAATTTAATCACAGGCGTGTTTTGTTTCAAGAAGATAAAAGGACACGCGGAGACACAACACAGAGCCAAAGGCCAGGTAGAGACCAAAGCAGATGGGTAATGATGGAGCCTCCAGTGGGTTCTTAAGGCAGCCGGCAGCCCCCAGAGGCTAGGAGCTAAGCAGGACGCAGGTTCTCACAGCCTCTGGGCAATGTTGCCCCTCTGCTTAAACCTCGGCTTCAGATTGCTGGCTTCCTGAACTCACATCCCCATTGCGGCATGTCATTCTCCTTGCGCTGCTTTGTTTTAGCATCCACGGGGAACAAATACCACTTTGTTGGCTGCATCCCAAGACAAAGATGGCAGGGAGAAATACCTGACAGCTAAGTCTAGGATGTGAGCGTCTCCCTGATTTCAACAAGGTTTAAGCGCCCATCCATAATGATGAGGTTAAGGTCTGCTTAGGAAAACTGGGGAGCAGGACACTTGGATGAAGGTGTTTGGACCTATGTTCCCAGTCGTATTGAATTCTCTATCACTACTGGACCCTTAGAACTCACTACTAAATGCTGAATGCTTTCTTGTGATAAAAAGTACAGAAACAAAAAAGGGCTTCTGTCGTTTAGTGGCACACGTAGGGCATCTCTATTGCTCTACGTGCGGAATCAACATCAAGAGATTTCAAAACAAAAAGTTTGGTAACCGGGCCGCCAAGGAACAATGGGCCCGGCCCCCCAAAAAAAAAAAAAATGTACAGAAACTTTCCCCATGCAAAGCAACTCATGTTCCTTTGGGATCTGAAAGCCATGCCCTTTTGTCCACTGGCCTTCTAAGTAGGGCTGAGCTGTGGAACAGCACACCTGGAGCTGTTGAGGAAAGGAATTAATCTTAAACGATCTCCAACATGTAGCAACATGGTCCAGTGACCAACAAGGGAGTAACAACAGGTTTGGATTCTAAAGATGTTTGATAAACCTACCCTAAGTTTTGATAAAGCAGGACACAAATTTGGTCAGGATAACTATACTGGCTGCAAAGGCTCTTCTGAGCTACAGGATGCACCACCTTTATACAGGCCCCAGGGAATGGTGGAAATGTGTCAGGAAACTGAACATAGGAACCTAGACAAAGGAACGACCCTGTCTTCACACAGCTGAAATGCCAAAACCCTAATGAAAGAAGGAGTTAAAAGGCTTAGAAGGTGCCATGTTAGAATGAATATTCTGGGGGTAGCCAGGAAAATTCAGAAAGGAGCAGAGGACTGACTGTAGTCCCAGCTATAAATAATGTTTTAATTTAATAGAGAAAGCACATAAACGAACTGGCTGCTATTGAATTGATTTTGACTCACAGCCACCCTGAAGAACAGGGTAGAACAGCTCCTGGGGTTTTCCCAAGCTGATATGCTTTATGGGAGTAGAAAGCTTCATCTCTTTTCCTGTGGAGTGGGTAGTGATTTTGAACTGCTGACCTTCTGTAACCACCATGCCAAATGAGTGCTGCTCAAAAAGGACAGGAGCATCACTAATAGTTCAGTGGCAGCTATCACACACCCACCTGAGCTGATGAGAGGAGAGGATGATGTAAGGCCTTCCTTGCTGAAGGCCATGGAGATGACAGGAAGCTAGGACCATGGCCGTCAGATGGTGCCACGGCGTAGATGTTCTCCTTCACCAGCGACATCAGAGTCGTGCTGCAGAGTATGAGTGCTCCTGCACAGAGTAATGCGGAGGTGAGTGAAACACAGCATCCACCTTGTTGAGAGCATTCTCTCAAGATGGAAGATTATAAATGATATCACGTCCCAGAAAGCACCACAGGCATGCATACCCACAGTGAAAAATCAAAAAAGATACAGAGGCGGACTTTTCCCTTCTTTGTTTAACTTTTGAGTGCTAATCGGGTGCAGGTTTACGAAGCCCATGGGCTTTCCATTCAACAATTCATACAAAGGTGTCATGGCATTGACTGCAATCCCATGATGTAGCACCCGGGTCTCCCAGGACTTCCTGTGTTTCTCACTTCTTTCTCTTTTCTGTTCCTAATGCTCCTGCCTTCAAAACCGTGTCTTTGGGCAAAGGCGGACCTTTGGATGGCAATTGGTTATCGTCTCAGAAACACACAGGGGACATTCTGGCTTCTCCTTTAGGGTCACTATGAGTCAGAATTGATCCAATGTAAGTGAGGATTTTGGCTGTTTGTTTTCTATTCAGGGCCTTCTCCTGTGATTCCTTTCTGGATCATCAGTAAGGGTCATCAGCACCTTCTCATTCTCCTGGCCCAGGATCTAGAAGGTTGAGCTCCTAGACCCAGTGACTCATTCCCTCAAGATGTTTGTTGAATACGTTTTCATAGTTTTGACCCCATTGGCTAATGCAATGGGGTCCTATTTGCTAATGCTCACTCTATTCATGCATATATTGGCAGTATTTGCTAAAGCAGCAATGCTGACACCAATGAGAATGATTGAAAGCTCATTGTCTATTGCATCTGCTAGTACTGACTATATTCATACACATCATGGCATCATGAAGACCTACGTAGAAATATCCTGTCAAACCTACATTCTTATATGTGAATATGTATAACTGCACTCTCCTTCCCACAGCTGTTCATCTTGCCTGTATATCTAAGTGTCCAGTCATAAAGTATTGCTACTGTGGGGTTTTCTAGGATATATTTACCTCTGCTGTGGTTTCCCCTTAAAGACAGTTTACTTTATATCTCCATTTCACTCGTCGGTCTGGGCTATGCAGAAAATGGATAAGGGCAAGGGATGGCTGTAGACTCCCACAAACTCAAGCAGAGTCTTGATCCAATGTCAGTCATTGCATCAGATGTAGCACGTTTACTAAAGCATTCACAGGTAACCTCCTCAGACCCATACCTGTTTCATTTGGGCTGGATAACACATTTAGAAATGGTTAAAGGAGTCACTATCATTCCAAAGAGTGGTTCTCAGAAGCTACCTCATGTCTCCATGGGGCCTGCACTCTGAGATGCAAGCAACAAACCATCCATCATCTGACCAACTATCAGTGGGGCCACCCTTACACTTCACATCCCAGCACTTAATATAAGGTGAGGGTAACAATGTGAATTTTAGTCCATCTGGAAACTGATGACAATAATCCTAATCTCACAAGGATTTGGGGGGATTAAAATTAGATGTGTATACCATACCCCATACCTATGTATAGTCTATTGCACTTTTCTCAGTAGTATACATATATTTTTACATATTCTCCCATTGTCTCGATAGTTGATATGTATACTCTCTGGGCATAACTCTGCACCAAGGCTCTTTGGGGTCTGTCTTCACAATGAAACACTACAAGTGGAAAATTAACCTCCAAGCAAAGTCACTAATAACGATCTGATTTTTTTTAATTAGAAGGCTGCTTTTAATTACAATTTATTCTTATTTCCTTGCATTCTGTCACAGCTTTTCTCTGGATATTTCAGGCTCAGGTGAGACATTTCATGTGACGGCATCAAGTGTGGGGATGTCCAGGTGGGCAAGACATGAGGGGGTCTGTGTTAGGAAGGGCTGTCTAGAGAAACCAGGGACACTCAGACTGTATCAAAAGAGGTTTTTAATCGAGAAACAATTACATATCAAGATGTCAAACCAGCCCCGTCTAAAGCAACTCTGTCCGTCAGATGCTAGACAGAGTCACGTTGAGACTCATGTAGCCGCAGGCCGGTGATGCAAAAGAGTGAAACAGGAAGCAGACAGGTCACAAACCATTGGGTGCAGAGGCGCAAGAACCCAAGGTCAGTGGAAGCCGACTGCTCTCAGGGTCAGACAGCCCATCTGGAGCTGCCCCTGGAGGCAGATAAAGAGTCCCAGCCACGAAGCCCCAGCAAGGAGGAAGATGAAGTGGCAGAGAGAGGCAGCTCCCTCCCTCTCATACCAAAGGCCACACTCCCCAGGAGGGATCATGGAACCTGATCTCTTCTGATTTTACTGCAAACCAGGGAGTTGTAGCTACAAAAGGCTTCTTTCAGGGACAGGAAGGGTTTTCACCTGGAAAAATAAACGGGAAAAGACAACATTTACATATTGCTGATGATCTAGTGTCTGTGGAGGAAACCCTATACTGCGTTTTAGATAACAAGACTTGTGAAAACATGGGAACGCCTACAAGGACCAACATGCAGACTCTGTCCATTTCCTGCCTCGAATCTTATGGGTTTCTAGGCACGTGGGCCACCTCTCTGTGGCCTCCCTGTCCTCACTCTTGGTGGATGTTAAATAACCAACCACTTCCTTGCTGTTGTATTTCTTCCAGAGGCTGGAGGTGAACATTTTTATTGGTTAAAATTCTATAATTCTGTTCATTTTCTTTTTCTCACCTGTGGGAAGAGGACCCAAAATTGGAACCAGAGTGTTGCTTCTCTGCTTAGGGCAGGGGTTCTCGACCTGTGGGTTGCGACCCCTTTTGAAGTCAACTGACCCTTTCACAGGGGTTGCCTGACTTATAACAGTAGCAAACTTACAGTTATGAAGCAGCAACGAAAATAATTTTATAGTTGGGGGGTCACCACAGCATGAGGAACTGTACGAAAGGGTCGCGACATCAGGAAGGCTGAGAACCACTGACTTAGAGAACGATGCTGCCGTGAAGCCAGCAAGGCCCTCCATGAGATGGACGGACCCAGTGGCTGCTACAATCAGCCCAGACATGAGAACAATGGTGAGGATCATGTAGAACAGGGCAGTGGTTCCTTCTGTGTAGAGTCGCTGAGGGATGGAACCAACCCCACGGTGCCTAACATCAATGACCACTTCAGGTCTGATCATCAGAGAGGAAATTTAATTAAAAACCCTTACCTTATACATTTTTCGTAAACCCAGTTGGTTTTATATGAAATAGCAACTTACCCTAGCTATCTGTCTCAGAGTAAAGAGTCGCTAAGAATCTAATAATATTGAAATAAACAGCATGTCCTGAAATAATGGAGGCTCTTTGTGATGAAAACACATCTCTCTGTCTCTCCTCTTCCTTTCTTCTTGTATTGTGTTATTCTTCTTCCTCACTATCTTATTCATGCATCACGAATTTATCATCCCCACTCTTTCTTTCAATTACATTTCAATAATTTCCCAAAACGCTGTCTTGAAACATTTCATGCATTTACAAATTAAGAATCATGTGTTCTTCCGTTAGCAAGGCATCCTATCATCCACTTCCACCTGCTAGTATGATGGTTACATAAGGTGAAATGTCAGAGTAAACCGTGCAAACCTATTCAAAGTCTGCTACATAAATCTGATCTTATCCTCCACAGACTAAACATCACGCTTGCGTGTATGTAAAGCATTCCTGCATGCTTTTAAAAAGTAATAATTTAGTTCTTACATCAAGTAAAGAAGTTAACGTGAGTCAAAAAATCTTGTTCTCTCTATCTATCTGTGTCTTTGTCTCTCTCTGTAATAAATTAAATAAGGCCAAAGAGGTACAATTAGACATATTAAATACATGTAGGGTTTGTGCCTACCCTGGTAAAGGATTTTTTCCTAGCTCATAGGCAGAAGCTGGGCACTGAGTCAGCCACTTAGAAGCAGCAAAAATCACCCTGAGAATTGAGGTCCCCTCTAGAAACGTGAGGGTTCTTTATTAAAAGAACTATTACGGTTCTGTATTAAAAGAGAGGGTGGGAGAAGCAGTCGGCAATTCAAATCCACACAGTGGCGCCTCACAAGGAAAGCATGACCATTCACCTCTAAAAA